TATATTTACTTTAGTGAAGCATTTCTAATGAAAAAGGGTGTTCTGAATAAAAGCTTTCCCACTTACTGCAGGAGGATGAATCAAAGGTCCTCTTGCAGCTTGTATCAGTAGTTTGGAGAAGTGGGGAGTTTTTAAACTCTGCAGAAGCTCTTTGGATGAAGGCAAATTTCACCGTTATTACAGATTCTTCCCATTCCACTCGGGATAAGGGCAGCGCTGGCTTTTGGACCAGCTGAGAAAGTCTGCTAGCCCTTGACTAACCATTGACTGCTTTAGCCCTTACAGCTGGTTCAGATTGAGTTGTGGGAAGGAAGATGTTGAGATGATTGCAGTCTCCTCAGGGTGTGTGCACACTGTGTCTTGTCAGCAGACACATGCAGCCTGTATGCAAACACTGAACCAGCTAAAACGCATATATTCCTATTAGTGCAGAACCAAGCTGAGTGAATTAGTTTTGCTGCTAGGAGGTATACAATAGTTCTGGTTGAGCTTTTTGGCTACAGAGCTACTACGGGAGCTGGGAAGAAACCATATCAGCATATTTAGATCCAGCAGCTACTTACTGACTTCTACTAAGTAGAGTGAAGTGTGAAGTGTTTGTGTTACGCAGAGGGATTTGGAAACATGTACAATCAAGACAGCAGTCCTCTGTGTGGCCTGCAGTGTGGACTAGCTGCATAGCAGTTAGAAAACATTATTTCTTTGACCTGTCTCAATACTTCAATAACTTGCTTCAGAAACCAGAATTTTCTTCAGTTCTCAGCAGCCACAAACCTGAAGAAATTATCTGGATGCCATGTGGGCTCAGAATTCCATCCCAGCTGACCTCAGTACAGAAATGGGTCCAGCATCCTTGGTCCACAAAGGATGAAATTTAGTGAAAGTGTCTGCTGGGCAACAAAAAAACATTCTCCGGTGCAACAGTGGCTCTGTGTTGTCTAATATCAACAAAACTTCACAGACAAATGCAGCACACCGCTCCCCTTAGGTGATTGATTAAGACTGTCATGACTGTACTTCATAAAACTTCCGTTTATGAGGTATGTATTACCACTCCAAATGGTGTGGTCTTTTTCCAGGGACTGATTTTGTTCCTCACTTGCTACAAGTGAAATTTACAGATAATGCAATCAACTCCCTTTCTGCTTATCTTGGCATTAGAAATATCTGTGGTTAATGTTACACCTCAGGATTTAAAAATAGCTTTTAGGTCTCACCCCGGTTACAGCTGGTTGCAGGAGAAATGTTGGAGAGAAGGCTTCCTCCAAATAAGAAACTGGCAGTACCACCCTGCACTCCAGAGGAGACACTTCCCAAACCTAGGGCCCTGCTAAACTTGGGTAGTTTGACTCCCGCTTCCTTCACTCTGGATTTCTAATGCTGTGACTGGATGATAAAAACACTTTGTTCTAGGGCAACCTCCAAGTCTATCAGCTCTGTTACCAACTGGAACTTGAACCTCACTGTAGGCTATATCCATGTTCTTACACGTATCTGAGGTGGATGCTCAGCCTTTATATCAGCTTCCCATCTTCCAAGAGCTGCCCCCATATCTCAGCATTTTTTCCTGGTCAAAACAGACAACATGGATTGTTTTCTACCCTTCCAAAGAAAATGCAGAGTTTGGCTTTTAGGTAGTACTGTTTGGTGCTGTTAAGATTCTCACTCTTGTCTCTTATTCCACCATCTGGTTAGGAACTTCTTTGTAAGACACTGTTAATCAATATGTATTCTGACTGCGTTTCTGAACTAGCTTGGCTCTGGTTTACTTCCTCAGTGGATCCATAATATTAATTTAAACTATTACTTTCCTGTCAATTCTGATGACTGTTTTTCTTCCAGACTGTTACTGCTTTTTTTGAAGCACTCGTTCTTCTGGAGTGAGTAATAAAAAAGGAAAAACACATCATCTGTATTAATGAATGTTATCTATCATCAGTTTGCTTTTTCAGGTTCTGGTATCCGTCACGCACAGAGCAGCTGTTTTACTAAAACTGGACAAGAATATTCTGGCATTATTCCTTCTCTGAACCTGCAGTGGTTGACACAGATAATATTTAGGCCTGCTTCATTTAGCTTTAAGAAAAAAAATCGAGGAAATAAACATTATGGTTTTTGTGATTCCTTATCTCTATATGATTGCCAGGGAACAATGAGGGACAGCTGCTCCCTAAGGGACAGGGATTGGGATCCCAGCGCAATAACCTGGCCAGCAGAGCAGGGCCTGGCAGCCAAACCTGTCCCACCCAAAGGCAGGAGTGGAGCAGCCCTAGCCCTGAGCATGGGCACCTCCATGGGGATAGGATGGGCACCGCTGGAGATTGGCCCTGGTGCAGTGTCACTGGGGCAGGGACTGATGGCTCTGGGGGGCTGAAATGGAGTCCTGGGCCATGGGCAGGTTGGGGTTGGGGCTGAGGAGGGATAGCGAGGCTGGGTGGTGCCCTGAGGGCCTGACAGTGATATCTGAATCCTCTTATTACTGCAGAACATATTAAGGCTAGAAAGAGCTGGTTGTAAGAAAAAGTGTACAAGAAAGAAAAGCAAGTGGACTCTGGTCAAGAGTGGTTCAATAATATCCAGCATTTCCAGATTTAATCATTTGACTCTCCTGCCTCACTGCTCCATTTATACTTTTCTATATGTTTTAAACAGGACACTATATGCCCAGAGAAATTGTTTTCAGAGCATCGTCTCAGTTCTATCCTCACCTTCGGACCCAGCAGTTTTCATTGTCCACAGACTCCCACCCCCCTGCCCCTTCAGACTTCAAGCAAGACAGGGGGAATCGCTGAGGTCAGGGAGTGGAGCTCCCCGAGTTGTTTCCTCCCTCGGGAGTAACATTTCCCATTAACATTTCCTGGTAACTCTCCTAGTATGATTATTTCAGACCTGTGCCATCCCAGCACTCAGTCATTCCCAGTGTTTTTCACACACTTCTGGAAACTTTGAGGATTTTCAGAGCTCAGTATTCAAAATGGGTTAATGGATGGTCGTACATAAAATTGTTAATTTTATATGTATATGTATATGTATATGTATATGTATATGTATGTATGTATGCATGTATATATGTCAGATGGTTAATAAACCATCTGACAATTGAAATGGTGCTCTTTCTGGTAGGATTTTATGTATGAATCAAACTGACCTTTGCAACCTTTTTTTCCTCTCATTTTGACCATTATATCAAGAGAAGTGAGATTGGGAGTTATCCCAGACATGTTAATTTTCTTCCTGTCTTCCAGGAAACATGATCCTTCGGTTCTTCCATGTGCTAGACGATGCCTCATCTCCATCAGAAAGAAAATTATATTATTACTAGAATATTTGCTCTCCCTACATTGCTGATAAAGTCGAATGAAGCAACTTCTCGTATCTGTGTCTTACCCTATTAAAGTCAGCTTACTTTCAGCCAGAATTTGGCCTGTATTGTTTAACTAGTTCCAATGGTTAAGTTTACCGTACTCACTGAAAAAGTATGAAACAAAACTTTTCTATTCCTCTGGCTTTAACTGTAATTCTTTTTTCTTCCCAATTAACCTTCAGTGTTAGGACAGGAATTATTCTCTTTTCCCTGCTGTGTTATCTCCTTCAAAATTGCAAGCAGTTCTGTTATCAATGAACTTTATTCCCTAAATGGTTAGTAGTTCTCTTAGAATCTCATCTAATGAGATAGCTATGCCCTATCAATTCATAGGTAATGGCTGACCATGAATAGTTCAGCCTTAAAATCTGAAAATCGGATCCAGCAGCAGCAGAGAGAATATAATTCTCTAAAGCAAAATGAATTGTAGCGTTTCAGGTCTGATGGGGCTGCATTTCACTGTTAATAATATAGAATATTTACACACATAATATTTTTATAAATTTGGAGGTAGCAGGAATTGTAATATGGGTGATAGCCTTCACTCCTGCATAAAGTTTGAGTGAATCTCTTGCACTCTTTACCTATTTAAGGACTTCTGCTATGTGTTTCGGGGAGCAGCTAGGCTGTCTGTCTCTACCACAAAGATAGCCGTCTTCTTTATTTGCAAGTTGTGATGTATTTTTTTTAATATTTTGCACAGAAAAACCATGCTGAACTGTTGCAAAAATGAATTGTTAATTAATTGGCTTGCAACTATCTAGCTGCTCACTAAGTACTATAGCCAGTACTTCCCATCACCATTCCTTTCATCTCCTTGCTTCTTTCTTTCTTGAGCCTTCTAGTTTCTTACAGTCACTCATTCTATGTTGATGGAAATCACATTGTTAATTCCTTGGGAACTGAAGTGTCTCAGTGGTTCTATAACACTCTTAACAATTAATAATAAGGAGAACACCAATTATGACTTTTTCTGGATGAGAAAGGGAGACCAAGAGAGAAATCAGGAGAAGCAAAATAGTTCTTGGTCTGATTAGTTTCTGATCATTTGCTGTGAAAATGGACTTGCTCAGCAAAGCAAGTAAGGGAAATGAAATTATAGAGGGTTCATACAGCTTTTTGTTGCTTAATTAATCAGAACTGGTTTTCATTCATGTAGTTCTCTACTACTGCTCCTCTACTTATTTGTCTGTCTTTGAGCAGGTTTTGTTTGGGTTTTTTGCAGGTCAGAATTAGCTTCCTGCTGTGATGCAGTTCACAATTTTGTTGTTTCTCAAAACAACACCCCACTGGGAAGTAACATGAGTTACGAAGTGGACAGTAAAAAGACCATCCTCATTACAGAGGACATTTTTAAGATGCTGCCTGTGGTAAGAACTGTATCTTTACCTGTTACTGTAATTGCAGTATCACATATATTTCGGGTTAGTGATGAAGTTGCTTTGTTTGATTCATCTGGAAAAGACCCTTCACCCCCTGTATGCACTTCTTCATTCACCTTATAAGATGGGGTTTTTTTTCGCTTTCCTCTGCACTGGTGGAGGCGTGGACAGGGTATCAGAGGTCAGATTGTAGGTAGAGTTGCTACAGCAAACAAAGTGCAGCCTGGATTGGTAGCCGGCTGAATTCATGGGTGAATCCTCTCAGTACATTTGCATTGCTTTCCTCATTCCCATTTTCAAAGGCATTTCAGTGTGGGACAACATTTCATATTTCTTGTATTCCCATGCCATTGCCAGTGCAGGCTTGGGCACATAACTTATGAAAGTTATTTTGGTGGTAAACCTGATAGTGGAATGGAATGGAATGGAATGGAATGGAATGGAATGGAATGGAATGGAATATTTCAGCTGGAAGGGACATACAATGATCATCTAGTCCAAATGCCTGACCAGTTCAGGGCTTACCAAGTTAAAGCATATCATTAAGGGCATTGTCCAAATGCCTCTTGTGCACTGACAGGCTTGGGGCATCGACCACTTCTCTAGGAAGCCTGTTCCAGTGTTTGACCACCCTCTCTGTAAAGAAATGCTTCCTAATGTCCAGTTTAAACCGCCACTGGTGCAGCTTTGAGCCATTCCCACACATCCTAGCACTGGAGACCAGGACCTCCCTCTCCACTTCCCCTCCTGAGGAAGCTGTAGAGGGCAATTGGCTGAAGTTGCCCCTCAGCCTCTTTTTCTCCAGACCAGACAAGCCCAAAGTCCTTAGCTGCTCCCCATGGGACATTCCTTCAGCCCTTTCACCAGCTTAGTTGCCCACTGGGATGGGGCCTTTGCAGCCAGAAACACAGGTTGACCAAAGGATTTCATAGTTCAGGGCTTATAACAGACATAAAAGCTCTGGAGACCAGACAAAGAGGGCCACAGAGATTACTTACTTAATTTCTTAATTACTTAATTACTTACTTAATTACTTAATTTCTCAAAAGTAAAAGCACATGGGAGCTCTCTTAACCATCTCTGGTATTCTGGATTTGTAAGATCCCAGCTACCATGAGTTGAGCCCTTTCTAATGCTCCTGTGAATCACCAAAAACTTCGTTGCAATAGAGGTTACAGTGGTTCCGAATTTGCAAGGCAACATGATGTCTGCCACTTTCCCCACACTTTTTGCCTTTTTCATAACAGTGTCCCTTCCTGCTTCTCTTAGGGCCAGCTGATGAGAGAAGGAGGAAGGATAAAGCTTTTTGTAAGCAAGTTTTGACTCAATTTTACAAGTCAAAATAGCCCAGCTGTTGGCCTCTCCATTGAATGTCAGTGCTCCCACGGCAGGAGAGGCTGAATGAGATGTATGAGATTTTTCTGAGACCCTGGGATAACAGCCAGCTATACTAACGTCAACTGAAATAGCCAACAATTTACATGAATTTGCCAGGTTGTGATCTGTGCTGGTTCACAAGTGGATGACTTTAGCTCCCATTCAGCCGCTTTGCTGCAGGATAGCAACCTCTAACAAGGAGAGGAGTAGAGAGGGTGAGCAGCCAGAAACAGTAACCTCTTTGGTTGGCCATCACATTCAGATGAGTTAAGCCAGGGCACACAATTAGCCTTTACAGCATCTTCAGGTTCCCCTAAAATTCATTATTTTACATCAAATGTAATTGTGTGATGACAAAGTAATGAACATTTCGAAAGTTACCTTTTTTTAGCTGACAAAGTCAATTACCATGTGACAACCCCCAGTCTGTTCCAGTGCATAGGAAAATAGGTAAATTTAAACTATATTCAGAACAATGTAGTTTCTTAGCTTGTCAAGGATTCAGTCCACTACCAGTTAATTTTTGTGTTAAGTGTATTTAAAAGATACTAATCAAATTTTAACAATCCATTTTATTCCCTCAAAGTACTGACGACAGAAGTAGCATTTCTCAGCCTGTTGGTGCCTATTTTTGGCTCTTGGCTATCTGGTCCTGGCAACACTGTCTGGTAAATGGTAAATGCTTTCGCTGGGATTTACCAGATTAAACCTGCAAGGACAAATGACTAAAGACATGAAGAAACAATCAAAAGATTTGTAAGACATTGCCTGTGTCTTTTCATAATCTTAAAGGTCTCTCCTAACCATAATGATTCTGTGATTCTGTGATTTGTTCGCAGTCCTCTGCTCTTTCAGTCCATCCCTTCAAGACCTGTGCTGTGGTTGGAAATGGAGGCATTCTGAAAAATTCCAGCTGCGGAGCTGAAATCGATCGTTCTGACTTTGTGTTTAGGTGAGAGCTGCTTCATCTTGCTGAAGTGTGTCCAATGTTCCTGAAAACTTGGCAGGTTTGGAAGTGTGCCAGCACCAGTTTGTAGCAGTGAGGCAGGATCTTGACAATTCCTTATTTCTGCTTCTCTAAGGATACCCCTTCTGCTTTGCAGATTTCAGAACACTGCTTCCTGGGTAAAGAGAGGCCTGTATAGATTCATGCATGATCTATGATTGCAAAGACTCCTTGCCAGTGATGTGAAACACAATTATCTGAGAACCTGAAATTTCTGTTCATTTAACATCTTTTAGGAAAGGGACCTTTCTTATTTCTTTTTTTTTTTATCAGGAGAAGAGAATAAAGAAAACCCTGAAATTGAAATAAGAAAAACTGATACTAAATGTCACATGCTTACCTTTACCTCTGGTATAACAAAGGGTTTACTTAGCCTTAGGTTGGCTTACTAGTGTAGTTATTTATCTGCGCTGGTATTTGTCTCACCTGCTAGCTATCTAAAAAATCAGATATCTAATTTAAGTAGGTTTTTTATCTCCTTCTGTAGATTGTGGAGAAAACCACACATACTCAGAGCATAATTTGTCCCAGTCTCTTAGTACGTGACTCACACTTTGTAGCTACTGCAAGAGAACAGAGTAACAGAATGAAGGTTTTCCTCTCAATAATGTCCAATCACATTCTGCTGGATTTTGTTTCCTTTCTTACTTTTAACTGATATTTGGGCTTTTCAAATGGAAAAAAAAATTCTTCCCAGTTAGGTAACTGTCCTAACAGAAATGGGAAATCTGCTGAACTTACTAAGTGACTGACTTAAAAATAACGCTTTCTTTAGCTTTTACAGAAGCCACTGTTTCTGTGGTTGGGCAAGTTATGCCACTGTTATCTCATGAAGCAGCTGCCAACATTGCTGTGCAAGCTGAGGAACTTGGTGTCAGTCAGACTGTTTTTAAACAGAAAATGAAAGAATCCAGAAGAAACACATTGTTTAGGCAATAGGGGCAATATTTCCTAGCATCTAACGTAGGGCATTCATAGACGGGCTCCTTCTGGGATTTTAAATTTGCCTCTGATTTGAGAGATGATTTATGAAAATGAGCTCTGTGTGCCCTATTTTAACCATCTGTACAGTAGATTAAATATTTTTACTAGAAGTGCTGTAAGCCTTATTTAATATTTGTAAAGTGCTTAGAGATCCCTGGGAGCTGATGTGAAAGTGTCATTGCACAAGAGAGGAATTTACGAATAATAACTGTAAAGCATTTCTGGTGCACATCTGTTTCAGTAAATGTTTCTCAATTTCAGGTGTAACCTCCCTCCAACCACAGGAAGCGTTAGCAAAGATGTTGGCAATAAAACAAACCTTGTGACTGTTAATCCGAGTATCATAGCTCAGAAGTAAGTACTACTGCAAATCTGTTTGTGTACAATATTGTGGAATTGTTTGACATGATTTAGATTTTGTTGGAAATCCAGTGGGATACCAGCATAGAGAGCAGTGCATGCAGATTACTTCATTAAGCTTTAGTTCCCATGTAAAATATCCACCAGTCTAAATGGAAATCTGTTAAACGTGGCCTTTTTTATAGCAGAAAGGAGTCAGCAAGTGCCTTGGTTGGCACCAGTCTACAATTTATGACAAAGTGAAATGGATGGTTGAAAGCCCAAGCCACTTCTTCCCCCTGCCATGACCCTCATGACCTCCAGCATAAGAAAGGAATTATAATCATAAATCAGGAAAGCTTGGAAATGTGTGTCCAACTCCATCAGTGGGACTGTACGCACATGTTCTTTGGTAGCGTGCTTAGCGGCTGTTCTGATTGAGGCTATTTCTTGAATGGAGCCCCAATTTTTGTAATCCATTTCCTCGATCCATATGAAAGCTGATCACACTTTTTTCTCAGCAAAGTCTTTTCACCTTCTTGATGAAAAGAAAATCTAATAAGGCCAGGCTGACTAATCTGACATCTTCAGCAGGCTGGAACCGCAGCTTATCTATGAAAAGGACTGCTGTGGCATGTTATTTACTGCTTACTGATCTTACTGTATCTCACTGTCTGTTGTATCTGTACTTGTCAAATAGACAACATCAGGCAAAGCTGCTTTTTTTTTTTCTTTTCCCTTAAAGGGCGAAGGAAAAAGTACTGTGATCATGGAAGTGACTAACAAGCATTTGTCATTGATTCAAGGATAGAACTTGGTATTTTGCAATGAGTACTAAGTACCTTGATGCTTACCCGGCCCTTTTTGACTTCAATGAAGATGAATTATTGCTTCCTCAAATATAGATTTAGCTCATTGATGTTAGTGGGGCTGCACAAGAATATAAGGAAGTAAAACTTTGTCCAGTGACTCAGCATCATTGGTGACTGCTGACCTGATGCCCAAATTGTCTGGGCTTGATCAAAGTGTTCTGCCACAGCTGCACTCATTTTTTAGCCAAATTAAGCCACACCAGGGTTAGTAGGAGTTACACTGCAAGAAATAGGAGCTAAACCTGTGTGAGGATTAAATGAAATTATAAGAGGACTTCAGGATTTAAAAAATTACTTATTTAAGTATTCAGAGAACACTAAATGCTTCTGAAGGAGGAGCAGGAAGCAACATGGCACCATTTAGCAGAACTGAGTTTGTTTCTTCTCTCAGAAGACCTATTCTGACTTTATTCCCTTTAATTTCTAATTCTGGTTTTGGGTACTGAGCTGGTCTGATGTTATTGTGAAGGTTAATCAGCTTTTCAACCATGTCAAGATGTACAATGTACATTCTCTCCAAAGGGGAGAGCTAAGTCTCTTTGCTGGCTGTTGGGGAACCAAAGCATCTGAGGATAAATCCTCTTCATTTATGAAGTTAGATCTCTAAGTCTTTACAGATCTGCATGTGTTTCCTTTGTGGTTGAAGAAGATAAATAGATATGCCTATATTTTCAACTATTTTAAAAGTATATCAAAAGCAGCTAAGACCCTGCAGAACTTGAGCACACATGAATCTTTAATGCTCCAAGACTGCTCACATGCATACTCTTATTTCCACACAGAGCAGACACCCAGATTTTGAAGAGAGGTTATTATATACCTATTGATGAAAGAAACACATTTCACAAACACATGCAGTACATATCGTAGCACATGTGTTTTTAAACAAAGTATAATTTTTTTTTCATTCTCCTTTGAAATATCTTGAATCGATCAATCCTGCAAACAGCTCCTGGTCTTATTAGCAGTGGATTTGATCTGCTTCAGTAGCTCCTGTGTTGCCAATTCAATCCTACAGAGTGTGTTCTTATTATACAATAAAGTCAGATTTTCATAACTGCACATATGAGAACATAGAAGAGGTTGGCATAAATTTGCAATATAGAGAGGCTGAACTGTTATACTTCAAAACTCATATATGCAAGTGCAGTTGTGCTGTTTTGGTCTGTAATATTTATACAATTCATAATGTTGTACTTTGCAGATACAACAAACTAAATGAAAAGAAGACAGAATTTCTGGAGAACATTGCGGTCTATGGAGATGCTTTCCTTTTATTGCCAGCATTTTCCTTCAGAAGCAACACAGCCACTTCTTTTAAAGTATATCACACTCTGCAAGAGTTTGAAGCAACCCAGAGGGCAATATTTTTTCACCCGACCTATCTGAAAAGTCTTGCCCAGTTCTGGAGAACTAAGGGTGTGAAAGCCTACCGGTTATCATCTGGTTTTATGATCACTAGTGCTGCTCTTGAGCTGTGTGAGAATGTGAAGCTCTATGGCTTCTGGCCTTTCTCAAAATCCACAGAGAAGATGCCAATCAGCCACCACTATTACGACAACCAGCTGCCTAAACCAGGTTTTCATGCGATGCCCAAAGAGTACAACCAGATCCTTCAGCTTCATGGCAAAGGCGTTTTGAAGCTGCAGTTTGGTAAATGTGAATCAGACTAAAAAGGTAGGTCACATTCTTGCCACATAAAATGTCTTTATTTAAGTGTCAAGGAAAAACTTGTTTTGTGAACAGTGTGGGTCTGTTCTTCCTTAGAGTGATTTATCTGCCTTACACTCAGCGAAAGTTGTGTTCATGAAAGGTTGGAGTTTTCTGAATAAATATAATGTACCACAGAGTTGAGAAATGTTTTTCAGTTGTAAACTTCAGATGGGGAGCATAGCTACATGCACATTATTACCATAATTCACAGTCAATCATTGGTGTATCCATATCTCCAATATGTGTGTCTACCAACCAACATTTGGTTTGGTATCAATTCCCATGAACCAGCCTCCCTTATGAACTGCTTTATTAAAGCCAATCACATACTGCGATCTACAAGAGAAGACACCTAATCCTGGCACAGCCTTTCCAGATGTATACTGAGGCCAAAGTAAGGATTAAGATTGCCTCATGAAGGAGTAGCATGCATATGTACCCTTGTTTGCTCTTTTTTAGGTAAAGATAAGTTTAGAGCAGTATGCTCCGGCCGCCCTGGGCTGTGAAGCAGCTTGTGGGCAGCAGTGAGGAAGCTGTCATACACTACAGCAGATCTTGCTGAGGATTTTACCTTGAGGCATCTCAGAATCTGGGAGTTACAAATCTGGGATGAAGTGTCATTCCCTGTCCTATGTCCTTTCTAACTGTCCCATCCTCCTTGGACATCTACCTTCTGTGTGTTGTCTCAGAGAAACGCAGCACAGAGTCTGGCCTCTGACCTTGCGCCAATTCACTGTGTAAGGATTATAGAAGACTTTGAAAAGATTTGTCTCCATGTTTTCAATCTTGATTTGCCCTGTTGACAGAATAAGACTATTTGTATAAATACTTCCTCATCTTTTAAGCTAACTCAGAAATTCCCCAGCTCATAGTACTGCTGTCAGATTTGCCTTTCACAGAGCTCTGTTTTTCCAGGGGGTTCGAGTTAATATAACAGTAAGTGAAATGTACAGTACCACTGTATACAATATGCTGTAATTGGACTGATGTAATCTCACAACTGTATTACTCAAGTTAAAGTAATTAAAAGAGTATCATCTTGTTCAAGCCAGGAATTTTAAGTTCAAAAGCTAAGGGCTTTTCTTCTGGCTAGGTTCTGAAATGTATTTGAAAATATCCTTTGATGGTATTTAAAAAAACATCCTATCAAAGATACATTCACATTTGGTTCATCATCAGAGACTGCTAAGTTTTAAACTAGCAGATTGCTAGTACCAAGAAGGCACAATTTTATTCACTTCCAGTTTATTTGAAGAAATAGAATAATAAATGCTTCCATGTATTACTAGAATAACACAAAACATGTGAGAAGTGACCTAGAAGCGATCTAGTGAATCCATGGCAGGAGATTACCTAGGAGGCGTATATGTATGCAGTTTCTTGTAGCTAAAGTATGCTTTTTTCCAGTAATATGTTGCAGCATATTGGAAAGGTTAAGAAATACATAATGTATTTCTTTAGTGGCTAAGCTGTTTACACCCTGCAGTTTCCATTGTATTTATTCTTATAATGTAGATCACTGGAGACATACCATGTAATTTTAATTGTAGTAACTACACCAGCAGAGAAAATGAAAGGCAGCTCTTCATTAATCTCGAGAGAAGCAGATAGAAGCCACAGAAATGTTTAAGCATCTGTATGGGTTAATTAAGTGCTGTCCTTACTTAACAGACTGCAAAACACTTCTGTGGCTGAATTTGCAAAATAAGAGGTAAAGAAAAAAACAACCGGAAGGATAAGTTGTGCTGCCCTAATTTACATTTGTATTTACAAAGAGAAAAGCTAGCCCTTTAAAACCAAAGAAATTAAATGCTTTCAGCATGAGCTGCCATTCTGCTACTATTATCAAATATTAGAGATAATTGAAATGCTGTAATGAGTATATTTCACTGAAGATGACCTTTCCTAAAAATTGAATGATCTCCTTTCTTTTTTTAATTTCCCTTTTATGTGCTGTCTGTGCCATGCTCTCCCCTGTGAGTGGGTAGTTTAAAGTTCCTTACACCACTGGGTGCCCATAGAAGTCTCAGGCAGAACTTCCCTCACACATTACTGGGACACAAAGGGTTGCTGCTGTAAATAAGAACCATGCAATGTTTTGGGTCAGAAGGAACCTTTAAAGGTCACCTAGTCCTACCGTCCTGCAGTGAGCAGGGACATCTTTAGATAAGGCTGCTCAGAGTCTCCTCCAACCTGACCTTGAATGTTTCCAGGGATGGGGCTCCTGCCACCTCTCTGGACAACCTGTCCAGTGCTTCCAGACTTGAAGGCAGATGCTCTGCTGCAAGCACCAGTATGGCAAGCAGGTAGCAGCTTCTAGAGCAGCTTCTATAGAGACAGCATAACTACATCGCAATGAACCATTTTGGCAATGTTGGTCCTAAACACCATCCTTGCCATTATAAAGATGAACTTTTCTTATTAGATAGAATTGTCAGATCTGAGAACCCTGTAGAGCCGATGCTGAGCAATGTGGGAAACTCCATCTGCCTTAATATCTCATCCTGCACCTTTCTGATTATGCTCAACAGACGTGCACATCTTTGCTAAAGCAGATGTATACCTGTCACAGATGGTAAAATGGAAAATGAGACATCAGCGAAATCTTGAAATTTAATTAAAATAATGATCTTTATTATTTTGTATTAAATTACCAAATCATTTTTGCTATGGCCCTGCAGCTGAAGGAAGTCTTGTTTGTTCATTGGTTTAACCTGATAAGCCCGAAGGGCCTGTCATTAGCTTCAAGTAAACATAGGTTCAAGGAGGGGAAATGGCCTGATTCATATTTAAAAATAGACAGAAAAATCTGATTAGAAAAATTGTCAGACGATAGATTAATCAAACTGGCAAAAATTTGATTGCCCAGAAGCCTGGTTAAAATGCAAATTTTTTTTGACCAAGAATCCATCAGGTTTTCTGCTTGCTGGAAAGAGACAGCGAGGAGGACGAGTACGTGTTGCTTTGACGTACAGCACAGTTACGGTAGCAGCTGCTCGGAGGAGTCCGAGCTCAATGGTCTGAGTAGAAGGACTGAAGGACGAGAGGTGGAGCAGAGGTGTGCTGGTGCCT